AGGCATTGAATGTCAGGCTAATCAGGCTAGCGCTACAAGTGAGGAATGCACTGTTGCTTGGGGTATGTGTTGGTTTCTTCTACTCCTTTGATTGCAATCCTGGGTTTTTGTTTGTATCTTGATTGGTATCGTAATAGGGTAAACCTGTGTGCAAAATTAGTCTTGTTTGAAAGAATTCTAGTATCTTGGAGCGCGTTTGTTGAATCTTGACATTGAATTTTGCTTATTTGGTGGCATCACTCAGTTGTCTTTGCTTTATTTGAAAGGAGACCATTCTCGTTTTTGTAGTACTCTAGATTGGCCAATGAGTATTGCACTTGGTTAGATATATAGATTTTCTAATAGATGCCTATTTATAGTTATGGTGTTTGTACGCTTTTGATGGGTTGCACCTGTAGTTATCTATGATTGAGGACAGATCATAAAACTTAAAGGATGACCAAACTCATTGCATTCTCTATTGCTGAACTAAAACTTACAGATTTGTGGATGAATTGTAGCTAAGAACCTTTTGTTTTCTCTTAGAGAATTTAGTAAGTCTTTCATTTAAGATAAATGAGATGTGCGAAGCATCTTATCGAATCCTCCATTGTTCTTCAATGTATATTAGGATAACTCAAGTCGAAATACATAGAATGTTAGTGCCTTCCTAACTAAAGACACCTGTTGCATGGTACTTTGCAGGGGTTTGCAATCACGCCTTCCACTTTCACTGTATCAGCAGGTGGCTTAAGACTCGGCAAGTTTGTCCATTGGGTATGTGTTTCTCGGTTTGAAACTTATTTGACTTCTTTGCGCTTTTGTTTGTTTCTTTGTTAATGTTGCTGAGTTTTAACAGATAACAGCGAGTGGGAGTTTCAGAAGTACGGTCACTAAATCGACCGCAAACATGTGTCTAATGGAAGATATCATGTTCATTTGGTTTACCGCATATGATACTAAGACTGCTCGAGTTCTTCTTTTCTTTTGTAATGTATTTCACAAGTTGTGGAAACAGAGAGATTTACTGTTCTTTGAACCTTTTATCGTTGTGCTTTGGGTGTTGTCTTTAATTTCGAATTAAAAGAAAAGAAAAATTATTTACTGCCAAAAAAACAGTTTTAGTAGTAAAATCATTGGTGCTGAGCAGAACATCAGAAGCCTATTTTCTTCCGAAGGGAAATTTACTGTAAGGCTAACTCGAAAGCCACCTAAATCTGGGTCAAGAGTTTCGTCATCTGTTCTTAAAACTTGATCTTGTATCACTTTAAATCCCTAGTAACCCATTAGAACGAGCTTATTGATAGAAACAGTAAAAACCTAACGCTTGACAACAATATGGAGTAGGGGAAGGAGCTTATACAGGCGATTCGTTACTGATAAATCCCAACTGGCTTATGATTTTCCTTGTACGTCTCATATAATAAGATCCGTCAATTCTACTGTTTGGCCTCTTAGGCGTCTCTTTACCGTTGCACAAAGTTATTTATTGGAAAACCACTGGCCTTGTGTCCCCATTCCCGGCCAATGGTGACCTGTTTCTGACACAACCAGCGGTAAACTACTCACTCCTTTCCCCATTGCCCACAAAACAAAAACCGTCGAAAATTGCATCTAACAAGTTAGAATAGCTTAGTGCATCGTCCTTAACCACGATCTGGTCGGTCATATAACTGGCCTACTCGAGAGGGACGTTCTTTGGGTCAGATGCGTAGAACGTCCAAGTTTACTTAAAATTTTTACCAACATATCCTACCCAAGTATAATTGTTTAAAATGCAACGAATAATCTGCTCGTTTGCTATATAGCCCCTTTTAATGGTATGAGTTCTGCTTTCACATTTTTTTTCTCAAAACAAAAACCATAAATAAATACATATAAAATGGTTGTTGTGTTTGGGTCTTGATCTTATCCCGCTCTATTACAACTATTAGAGCATGATTCACTAATGAACTGGGATAGTCAAAGAATCAAGAATCTAAAAATCAAAACAACTTGTAGACAGGTTTCATATCAGTAGGATAGTACAACCCAAAGTTCTGTTCTGTCCCGGCTGGCTTCTGATTCTCATTGAACGTTGCAAACAAAAACCCATGGATGCTATTGTTTGGCCTCTTCGGTGTCCCTTTACCGCTTTCCACATGTTTGACAAAATTTCCATTGTATATTGACGCGATCTTCGGCGTTGTTAAGTTCCCGTTACCCGCGGAAGGCCATCCTGTTTCTCCCACCACCATGGGTAAATCTTTTAATCCCTCTTTCTCCATTGCCCACACAAACGCGTCAAATATCACATCGAACATGTTTGAATAACTCAATGGCCCGTCTTGGACCACGACCGCGTCGGTGTCCAAGGTGGCATAATCAAGACGAATGTTGACAGGATCAGCCGTGTAGGCGAAGTAAGGGTATATGTTTACGAGAATAGGCGTATTTGTCTGAGACAAGAATTTCAACACGGGAACGAGTTGTGCACGTGCTTCGGGTGTGAAATCTCCGGCGGAAGGTGGATAGGACTGGCCAAGGTTGATCATAGCAACCGTGGTGCTGATCAAGATTGGGAGACTCCTCGACTTGACGAGGTTGGTGAGAGATTTCATGACGGCTAGCACGTGAAAACCGATTTCTCCCGGGATGATTTCGTTCCCAACAGTAATGAATGTTATGTTGACATCAGCTAAGTAAGGCTCAATGTTAGTCACGAACCAAGTGTTAACTGCGTCTTCGCTGGTCGCAAGAGCCGCTAAGTCTTGGTTCTTAACGCCTACAATGACTCCAATATCGCGGTTTCCGCGGAAGGCATTAAGGACATCTGTGTTCGTGTCGAAAATCCGAATATTGGCAATGTTTAAGGACTTGTAGAGGTTGATAACTTCGGGTGGAGCTGGGAGGTTGTCTCCGAGGAGACCGTAGTTCAAGCCAACCTTTGTCGCTGCGTTGTAGTTGAACAGGATTGCCATGCACGCGAGCATGAACAAGAACATTCTTGTAGGACTGTCCATAATGAAACGTGTGCCTGCAAAATTAGTAGCATTTGAAATAAATGTTATAATTTAGTTCCAAATGTATACAATTATCTGATGTGCTAGAGTTTAGACATGAGAGGAATGGATCATACTTGTCTAAATAGCGGAGACGAGAAAACCAAACCGAAGTTGTTTTGGCTTCTTCTCTTTATTTTCTGTGTTTCGTTGCAAATTATGAGTTGTAGTTTTGTTCGATTTATATACATAGTTGAGATATATGTTTTCTATTTCACCAATAGCACTAAAACTAGTATTAGTAAATTTTTGTTTCCATCTTTTTTTTAGGGCGTAATTTAGCTATCGATCAAGCCTATTTTACAATTTTCTATTTATTTTCCTCTCTTTTTGGGTCTAATTTAACTATTTTCATAAATAAACTAAAATATATCTAGAAATCTATAAAAAAAGAAAAAAAAAATTCCGGAATTATTAAACGAATCTCATGTTCCTTTGGAGCAAAACCATGTTCTATTAACCTTTTGCGATAGAGGATAATGGTTTGCGATCTATCTAAAACACTATATAGTTTGTATGTCAAGCTAGGAACAAGAGATACACTTTGCGAGTTTTACTATATATAGTTTTAAGTCACAATAAAAAAAAATCCAAAAGCAATTATATAAAGCCAACACCAAACCCAACTGAGTCTGGGTATCTTAAATATCAAAAGATTAACGTAACTAACTATAACATCTTATAAAATAGATGTTAAAGTTAATCTTGAATCTATTACAACTATTAGAGTCTTTAATTTTGAACTGGGAATAGTCTAGCTAAAGTAAAAAATCCAAAATCAAAACAACTTGTAGATGGGTTTCATATCAATAGGATCATATAACCCAAAATTCTGTTCTGTACCGGTTGGCTTCTGATTCTCGTTAAAAGTCGCGAATAGATACCCATCCATGCTACTGTTAGGCCTTTTCGGTGTTCCCTTACCGCTTTTAATATGTTTCACAAAATTTCCGTTGTATTTAGCCGCGATATCTGGCGTTGTCAACTCCCCGTTACCCGCGGAAGGCCATCCGGTCTCTGATACCACTATGGATAAATCCTTCACTCCTTCTTTCTCCATTGCCCACACAAACGCGTCGAAAATCGCATCAAATATGTTTGAATATCCCAATGGTCCGTCCTGGACCACAACCGCTTCGGTATTGAAGATGGTATAGTCGAGACTGATGTTGATGGGATTGGACGCATAAGCAAAGTACGGGTACATGTTGACAAGGATAGGCGTATTCGTTTGAGACAAAAACTTAAGCACTGGGATTAGTTGTTCCCGCGCTTGGGGCGTGAACATTCCCGCTGAAGGTGGATACGACTGGCCGAGCCCAGACGTAGACACCACGGTGCTGATCGAGATCGGAAGACCCTTTGACTTGACGAGGTTGGTAAGAGACTGCATGACAGGAAGCACTTGAGGACCGATTGGTCCAGGGATGACTTCGTTACCAACGGTAATGACCGTGATGTTGACGTCAGCTAAGTAGGGCTCAATGTTGGTCGCAAACCAGCCCTTAACAGCTTCTTCGCTGGCCGCGAGAGCAGCCAAGTCCTGGTCCTTAACGCCTACGGTGACGCCAATATCGCGGTGGCCACGTAAAGCGTTGAGAACGTCCGTGTTCGGATCGAATATTCGGATTTTAGTAACACCTATTGACTTGTAAAGGCTGATAACAACGGACGGAGCTGGGAGGTTGTTTCCGAGGAGGCCGTAGTTCAAGCCGACGTTTGATGCTGTCACGTTTAAGGAAACGTGGTTTTTGTGGATGAACAAAATTGCTATGCACGAGAGTATGAACAAGACGACTTTCTTAGGACAGTCCATGATGAAACTTGCGTCTGCAAAATCAGTAGAGACAGAGATAAAAACTTATTATATGTCGCACATAAACGATTTTTGTATGTGTGTATAAAGAGACATCACATGATCTTACTTGTGTGAAGAGGCAGAGACGATGGAACCAATGTTGTGTTTGCTTTTTATGTTTCTTTGCAAAAGAATATGTTAGAGCCAGTG